TGGTACGCCACTGATATGGACATATTTCAAACGGCAAGATATTGAAGTAATAGCTTGGAAATAGCGCGCTCCAATTAAAAGCTGCCGCTCTAACTGGTCAACGATGGAGCGCGCTTTCGACTCCTCCCAGTCGCGAGCCCCATTACGGGCGTTCTCAATGAAAATAGGCCTGGAAGGCCTTCATTCAAAGCGGAACATTGACAAAAATGTTGAAAGGTTGAAATGAACTACGACACTAATCTCGTAACATAGTAAAACTGGGCTAAACTATGTGCGGCCACCTTTCGTTGAGAAGTTCTAATCTATCTTGATAACAAGTCTGCTTATCCTTTTTCTTTCTGTATAAAAACCAAAGCCTGGCTAGTGTTTGCGTGATTTTGCCGAGATTCGACAAGTGTACGTCTGTGCGTGTGTGATACTAGGCTATTTTCCAAGCTTTTGCGTGGGATGTGCGCTGAGGAAGCTGTCACAGCTAGGATTGCGCCGCCCTCACTGCTTCCTCACGGCCTGAGAAGCACATTCACTGGGTGATCGGCTCTAACATCATGTCAGCTCCCGCTTACAGAGCGCGCACTCCACAATGTCTCCCACGCTCACGCTCTGTCGAAAGATTTGGGAGCGTCGCGACATTGACAAGGTAAACGCAGTTGTGATAAAATGCCATTGTGATATATGGAAGTAAACAACGTATTTCTCTGTTTCAAGAGTCGCGTCAGTGCCAAATCTTTCAAGTTTCCATGGCGGTGGTGGTAGGTATCAGGGCTCTACTCTTTACAAATACAGAAAGGACCATGACGCTGTAGGTTTGGCTTCGCAATTTGTTTATTCTAAGTATGACTAACGGTGTGGTACGCGCTACTCAGCCACTATTTCTAAGAACAGTGTCTGCAACAAACTTCATGAAGAGAAGGAAGATTGCAGGTGTTGTAACCAAATTTGTGTGGCAAGGTGTTTCTGTTGTTCCCTCATTTCGAAGGAACCACTTTTCATAACGTTACATGTTGCCCTTTAAGACTAAGGGGAACATTATTAATACTTGCTCAGTGCGAAGTTTCCTCTGCGGCCGGTTCTGGAAACTGCAAGCGAAAATTCTTTGCAGCACACAGTTCCGACGCAGTTCTTGCCACCGTATTTTGCTTATAGCTGTGAGAAGAAAGTGTAATATCATCGTCAGCTAGTTTCCTAAGAAAACACAGAATGGGCGTCCCCGTTGTGTAACAAACAGCGCAGCAAACCGCAAACTCTGTTGGTATTGCTTGGAATAGCGAATGATGACACATAGCTATCATATCTACAGCTTATAGGCATACCTTTCTGATTTTTTCAACTTTGAACTCTAGCTTGATGATTGGAACATCGATCGTTACATGTTCTACACGCCTTACTACTGGCCAACATATCGTTATGCTGCTCGCCGTTCGCTCTACGTTGATCCCATTCCGAACAGCCTGGGTTTCACCTATCCCGATTACTGGTAAGAATTGTGATGTCTCTAACGTTACTTGAGGCTGTAGCCGCTTGTGTATTCGTGAAATTGCCTCAGAAATTAGAATTCGCCTAAGCTCGTCTTGCCTACGTACTTTGTAACATCGATCATGCAGCTTTGGTCAAATAAGA